CATAAAAAACTCAATATAAGAACTATCGTCAAACTCAGTGTTTTGGCAGCCCTATTATATGCAGATTATTGCTATTGCAGGTTTTCTTTCTGGACAGTAGATTACAGACAAAGGACTACGATGCATTGTTGTGTAACGATATTTTCTTTTCGTTAAAGATATATCACAGACGTATCCTTTTCCGCATGGCTGGAGATAGGACCCTCACCGTAGATGATCATTGTTGCAAACAAACCATTCATCTATCATAACTAAATTGTTTTCCAACTGCCGACTTTACGCGCGAGTGCACGAATTATAAGCATTCGTGGTATTGTTAATATACCAACTCCTGCCATTCTCACTTTCCAAACACATGTCGGCACATGCACATCATCTGCATCTAAAGGTTTCTTTTTGGATGAATAATATATTCTTATCGGAAAAAAATGTCGTCCTGAAACTTGAAGCTAAATGTTACTCCCCGATGCTCTCGTAGATGTGTCATCATAATGACCATGTCTGTTCCTAAATATATAGATTTTGATACACATAGTCTCTACATGAGACCGCATGAGATTAATCCGCGCGTGACCCATATTTCACACGCCCGTAGCAGATAACATAATCGAAGTTTTGGCTTCTTCACAGAACTTTTTTTCCTAAAATATTCACTAATGAGAACGTTCAAGCAATCAGGATCTGACATAGCCTTGTTTGATGGGTAGCAATTTTACCAATTAACATGTTACAAAGCCGTGAATTCAGAACAGTTGTCATGTGATGTGTGTCGATTATACAAGACAATGTTTAACAAATGTTCTTCACGGTGTCCACACGAACTGCATGTGCCTAGAGCATTGTTAGGTTCACGAAGCAGTAAGATACCTTTTCGTTATAGAATATCAAGCAGCATCATGTTATTGCAGTGAATTCACTGTAATTGTTCTGTATGACTCTAAATAACACGTTACAATTGTCAAGGACGTCAAAAACGTATCAAACACGGTATACCTGGAAACTTTCGCCCAGTCTGAATGTCGCCCTTATCATGTGATCACGATAGATTATATTGTTCGTACTAATAATCGCTGTCATACTAAATTCGCCTTCATAAGGGAGGGTAAAAAGGGTGAGTGTTAAACTGAGGCGAAATTTCGCCGGTATACAGTATGTGATTTTTTTATTACCAAATACTTAATATGCATTCACGTTACCGGTCATGTGTTTGATGAATGCAACATCGTACAAGTCATCGAAACGTTACGCTATAGAATATCACTGGTTGTATTATATGAACATATAAACAGTACATATATATATATACATACCACCATGATACCTTTCCTTATATCATTATAATATGAAATTAAAGTGGATATAGTTAAACGACTGGCTTGGATCAATCAACGGACAATTGATTATATAACGTTATAAAAAGCTTGCATTTAAAAAAGAAATATTTCCCTGTTTTATGTTGTCCTCTTCGGAGCTCCAAGCTTTTAATTTCATATCATATTAAATCTATACACAGAATACAATATATCCCTGTATTCATATATATTTGCGACACTGAATTGAGTTTCTTGCATCTTGTATGATGTATGAAAGTTTCGTTTATTAATGCTCGTAAAAGGTTATATTTGTAGGGAACACGAGCCAGTGATGACGTTATAAGGGATGCTTACTGCTGCGTGACGTTCGTTTCAGGTTGGTGATCAATGAATGGATATAACTGTAAACGAGGTAATTTTTTTCTAAATGCCCAATACATGCAGTAGAACCCTACACCACGAATCAGCAGAGCTCTGATTGAGCTGGAGAAAAAAATATTCTAGCCATGTCAATATCACACAGCTTGATGGTTCACTACAGCCACACTCAAAAGCATACGCATCGGTAATGCACTGTTGTATACAATAAGCAAAACCAGATGATACATGGCAGGCATGTACAGTGTGGTTATTGACGTCTAGTGTTTTAGGTTATAGTTTGTTCAGGACGTAAACATAATAAGGAAAACATTTCTTTTTAATAGTATGGGCAATCATAAAGATCATATTCATATTATTGATGTTCCGCGAATGCAATGATGATCTTTATATTGACAAACATAAGAAGGGAATGGCCTTGTGTGGTAGTCTTACTGTAATTTATGTGTGACAGTTTTATATTCGAAATGGGCGTTTTAGACGCTACAACAGTTCAGTCCATTAATCAAGAACTCCTCTCATTCTAAGCTTAATGAAATAGAGCGTTCTTTTCGTACGATAAAAAACCCCATTCATAGTGTGTACCGGAAGGCTTTCTTGGTACGTCGACTTTTTTGCATCTTTCCATTCTTCATTTTCCTTTAAAATAATAGCATTTTTAAATATTCCGGCGTTTTTGTCTGTTTCATGGTAACAAGTGTAATCACGTGTCAAACACCTACCATATAGTGTCATATATTGCTTTAATACTTCATCTAGGTGATGTACCTTTTATCTCAGGTACACGATAAGTCAATTAAGAAAATCAATACCTATACAAGCATGCATCCGTCTCTTTACATGACGTCTTACGGGCTGTCAGTCACATTACTTCTGTACTGTACTCCTGTCTGTAGCAATAACACGGTACGTGATCATCGTGTGAACTACGAGATATACTTCTTAATACCTACATTTAGCGGAGGCATATTTTTGTCTTTTAATTCTTTTTTGTTCTCTTATGAACACCAACTGTTACTTCGAGCATTTACCTGATGACATGAATACCCCTCGTCTCGATTTATTTGTCATTTCTAACTGCAAATGTAGGAATGCAAACTTTAGTTTCCAAGATTTACTTGATGAAATGAATACCCCTCGTCTCGATTCATTTGCAACATGCTTAGTTCCAAGTATCTTACGGGCGCCTTTTTTTCTTTTCTCGCCTTGTTCTCTTTGCATATATTTCCAACTGCTTTATAATTCCAAAAGATCACTTGGCAAATTGAGGCACTATACAAATTATTAAACTAAAAAGTGTATTTAATTTTACGCTCTTTTTAAATTTCTCGTTACTCAAAAGTAACAACACACTCTTTACCGTATGTTGGGGAGTATGGGTAGGTTTGGAATCATTAAAAGCTTTAAAAATAACCCGACCAACTCGTCACGGCATGTTTGCTTACCATGCTGCATATGGTTTGTTTATATTTCACATGTGTTTAACTTCTGTATTTTAACATTCGTTTTTTGACACCAGTCACAACCAAAAAATGGAACTTACAATGTTTTGCTAACACAAATATATACCAGATGCGTTCTAAAATCATTATGGCTAAAACAAGACTGTTGAGCAGTTTATCAAAACGTAACTTTAACAAAGGAATAGTATCTTAATAACAAAACTGAATCCAACTAACGGTCTTACTGACCAATAAGACAATTACATGATATTGATTGTGTATTAAAAAAACACCCAAAAACAATAAAGTATAAGATCAATAAAACAATATGTAAAACATTTTCAGACACTTTTAGAAAAGATATAAACTATCACAATACATGTGGACATCCGAAAACAATTGATTGGAATTAAGGGGGATCGGGGCGAAAACAATTTGAAAAATCATATTTCATCCCTGGTATTGTTGTACCTTCCTTTCAATCATTTTGGTGACTGTTGATTATCAGGACGGCGACAGTCTTAATGAGCAATCAGAATGCATTTTTGATTCTTAAAACGAAACTATAACCATCTGGAGCGGGAAATATGACGTAGTCTTGATAAGAAAACCTCGATTTTATTTTATGTTTTACTCAGAATGAAATATCTTAAGCGGGAGTATACAGTTTTGTAACACTGACCCTTGGGAAATAGGCTTTGCCCTTTAATATTTTTTTTTCTTATTGTTTAATATATGACAACGGAACTAGAGGAATAAGATTTGTTTTGGTGTATTATCCTTGGGTGATCATAATGAATACCAGGGCATTTTCTAATTATGGAAATAATTCGTTATCTAATACCACTATTTGTTACCAAGCTAAGTAAATGTGTGACAACATAATCAAGATAATGCCTTCTTCTGACCACAGCGACCAATATAATGAATAATCAATATCATGGATCATGGATTCTTACTGTATGTAAGAAAAGTATGTTTAGCATCTGTGTACCTGTGTATCCGATAATCTTGATTAAACACACTTCCAGATCAGCTATCAAAGCCGTATCGGGAAAGATGTTTGTAAAGCATGCTCATGGGCCAGCATCATTTTGTTAATCACTTCTTTTTCATGTTTTTTCCATCTGTAACAATGATGCTCTACAGGCGTGCAATTATGTAACATGAATCGAACACGACGATTAGGTTAAATAACAAGAATGGAAAATAGGGAGCTGAGTAAGTAACAGTGATGATAAGAAGGTGTGTGATTAGGTATCAATGATGATTTACAGCTGTGTCATTAAGTAAAAATGATGATTTACAGTTTGGGATTAAGTAACAAGGGTGGAGCACAACGATGTGATTAAGGAACAATGATGATTTACGGCTGTGTGATTAAAAAACATTGATGATTTACAGTTTGGGATTAAGTAACAAGGAAAGAACACAGTCGTGAGTTAAATAGCAATGCTTAGTTTGCTTTAAATTAAGAAACGATGACGTCTAACAGCTGTGCGATGAAGTACAAACATCGCCCGTGGCCTCAAACATGCTTCGGAGATCTTTCAATATAGGTTTGCTGCTCTGAAATAATTTGACAGGCCCCACTTTGATTTACGTAATTTCAAAAAGTATTTACATCTTGGCGCTCTGTAACCATAATTTACTGAACGCACCCAAACTCTCAAAAGTATGAAAACAAATCTTAAAGGTCACACTGCAACGGAATCGATTGTACTAGGGAAAATCGGCAATTACACAGCAATACATCTTTTTTTCAGCAACTCAAGCTGCTGCATGCGTTTCCTATGGAAACGCAATTGCTCGTAATAGCACGGCTGTCAATGAACAGAATTTAATTCAAAATCATCAAAAGGCTTACCTTAGATGCTTCAATGGAGTTGAGAAACTTTTTGAGGAATTCATCTTCGTCTGTCATTCTGGTTGCAAAAGCTGGGCTTTGCTATGAAATCCAGATAGATAACAACTGAACGTTGATTCCCCAGTGGATGTGTCGATCTTTATATAGCACTTACAGATTTGAAAAAAGTATATATTTTCAAACCTTAATGGATAGCTATTTCAGAATGTTATGACGTAAACAACCACAAATTCACTTTGAAATTTATATATGAGTTATAAGATACAGAGTTGCAAAGTACGGTTGCGTTTCCTTTCGAAGCAAAATAAAGTTCATAGATGAAAATAAGAAGATACTCGGTCTAAATTAATGTTGGCTCGTGACAGAAGTCCGTTTTACAATGTAAGAACACAGATAACGTTTCCACAATATCTATTTTCTTGATAGAAATGTTAGAATATCGAACACAACTTTGACAAAAAATAATCAGACCTCCTGTTGAGAAAAATGCGAGGTCGAAACGCAATCAAAACAAAATTTCCAGTTGATAAATAAGTTCAAGACTGTTCCACTCAAGAAAAATATATATCAGGATGAAGTATTATGTTGAACACACAACAAAAATCCCAGATGCTGTGTACTCTGTAACTAATCCCCGCGGTATGTGTGTGACATGTTTTAACCGCGTGTTAACACTAGACACAGATGAACGCTCCAGATATAGGGGGCGGGACATGCTACTGGTGGCTGGTGAGAGGTGACTCTCAGATACGGAGGCTGGACTATAGTGTGTATATATACCTGGCCTAGCCTCATCCCGATCGATTGCTGCTCGCGGTTGGAAAAGCAAGCTCGTCTTTGTTTAAAACTATCATTTATTAAAACGTTTAGTGAGAGATATTTTTGTATGAATATTTCTACATCTTTCGTAAACGAAAAGTTAATTTACACTGAAGCCGCTCTATGATACTGTCAGAATCTTAAAGTGAACAAAAAACGGTAGCGATCTTTCGGTTTGTACATGTACAATTTCGTTCGTTTTAAGTAATAATGTTAACATATTTAATATTGCTCAGGAAATCAACTATGAAATTTCCGACAGGTGTGATTATATCTATATATATATACCTGTGTATGTTTCGTTCATCTTACATATATGCACAACAATCATTAAGAAGCGATTTTATTTTATTTTCCTGAGTCCATGCTTTCGTTAATTCAATTATGTCTTTTATGCATAAATGAAAATTTCAAAGTCAAAACATTTAAGAAAAAAAACACGATAAAAGATTCGAGTTTAAAGTGATTGACGTTTCTCACTCTTCCGTCAAACAAGTAGTCTATAGTCTCATCAACATGTAAGTATTTGTTGACCAGATGCTAAAATATACTTTTATTTCCGTTATAGGTTTGAAATATTGAGTTTTAATAATTAACATAGTGCGTCACATATTTCATATTTACAGCTCCAGACAACAGGATCCAGAAATAGTAAACAGACTGTATGATGTCTGGTTATCCTAACGTGTCGTTTACTGAAATAAACAAGCACGAACACGAAAATGTTTTATAAATATATCTGAATAAAAATGAATATTTGGCCAATTGACATTCGATTTAAATTGATCTACAAACGATATCTGTTATTTATCATTGTTATAACTGTCTTGATATACAGTATATGATATGAAAAAAAATGCTCGTGATTGCTATCAAGTTGGCCATACGTTGAAATAATGGACCTAACTATAATGAGTTGGGCATTGTTTCATTCCCCTGAGAAGCACTGCCAGTCCGAGGCAAAGGTGTGTGGGCTAATTAAGTTAACAATCTCTACAGAAATGAATCGGTGGGGTATCCATGAAGCAGGTGTTAAACGCTAACGGTTTTAGTCAGGAACCTTATGTACTGATATAAAGGTTTTTGTAATATAACAGAACGTCCAACTAGAGCGATGCTTTATCCTGTGTTCGCTAAAGGTTTTGGTCAGGAACCTAATGCACTGAAATAAAGAAGTTTGTGTTATAACAGAAGCCCAACTAGAGCGATGCGTTATACTGAGTACGGCTACTGTTTACAGTAATAATAGCCCTAACCTATTTAGTCGCGGTCTTTGTCTTTTTGGTGAAATGAGCCATCTGCATAGGGAAACGATCCCAGCTGAGCTATGATAAAAAAGCTAGCTGTAAAACGGTAATTTCAATATTCATAAACAAATATAAATGTACTTTATTTTGTTTAAGGGTAATTTGTTTGGTTTGGTTTAGTATTGTTTAACGTCCTCTTTTTGCGTTTCGGTGAAAAGAGCCGATACCAACACTCACTCGCCCTAACCTTTGTTGTTATGACATATTTTTTAAAGAAGAATATACATATGGACATAAACTTATATTATTGTTTTATTCAAGAAGTGCTCCATCTGATGGTAGATACATTGATGATTTATGATATACAACTTTTGATATAGCGCCCTATCTAGCTAACATAAGCCACTCTAAAGCGCTTTACAGTACACACATATACAGCTCATGCAATTAGCATATATATACCTAAATCAATACAATTGTTTGAGGAATTTGCCAGAGTTGCCTTATCAGGTGCTAACTACTAGTCCTATGTCAACTGGCTATGTGTATGTCTGCGTGTGTGTTTAAGATGTAATGTGGTATGTTTGTAGTGGGACCGTGCTTCCAACGGCATCTTTGATAGTGATGTTTGAATGCTACAGCTTCGATACCGCAACATCCACACCAATGTAGATATACCATCATTGTTCCATATCCATCCCATATCAATTTAGGCTCCACCTAGGTTGTTGGAGTTGTGTGGAGGATAAACACTTTCTCTTATTTTCCATGCGTACGACGACTTTGTGGATCAAACCCCGGGCGCCTGCGTGGAAGACCGGTGTGTTAACCACCGTACCAATCAACATATTATGTGGGACGACCAACGTATTTTGGAGATCATCATATCACCTTCGACCATACAGGTTGACCTGGTTGTCACTAGTTTACACCTTGCTATGTTTTTAGATTTTTTTTTCTTACCTGCTCCTGTGTATTTCATTTTGATATTATAATTTGATATCCTAACCTATAACGCACATTGCAGTGTATTTAACATTGACGCGTATTGTACTAAAATGCACTGTTGTGATGTATGCCATTAGATCGTGCTATACTGTATGTCATTGTTCTATGCTGTATTGTTTTGTCATTGTGTATAGTACTGTATGTTTATGGTGTATTTTTTTGTACAATTATAATGTAAAGCATTGTATCATTGTGTACTGTCAACTCTATAATGTGTAATATGGCACAAGGATTAAAAGAAACTGTAACTGAATCCTGTCTGCTTTGTTGCATTAATCTGTACCAGCATGACATTAAAATCAATAAAAAGACATGTAATCTCTACTCTACAAGTCACTAGGATAAGGATAAAATTGGACTGAGTTGTACATCGTTACATCTGTATTAATGAGCGACTGATACTTGTAGAATCCTGGCCGTTTTATCTCGTACAAGATTTTGTTTCTCTCTTAGAATGAGGACGAGGTCAAGGTCACATTGATGGTGGTCTTTTTTATCAATTACAGAGCACCGTTATCATTTCGTCGTTTATTGAGCAGACCGTTTACGCGGGTAATTTTAGAACATTGCGGGGGTTCTCATTATTTAAACCCGAATTCGACATTATCGGGATCCTCTGATAAATAAGTATGTTTGATAGTCAACGGACCAATATCTTTATGTGACTATGATAAGTGACTATTATGATATCCCACCGACCAGGTTACACGAAAAGTCCATTCTAGATCCTACGCCATTCGTACATACAGCAGTATACAATCAGTTCAGATGGATGCTGTGGTTGGTAGGCGTGATACTGTATTGATAGATCGGGATTTAACCATGTCATGGTAACTTCGTTTTCGTTTTAATGGTGTTCCGTTTCTATCAGCTCACATATCAAGGTCGAACGTATTTGTTTTCTTCCGAAATGTTAAAAGAATCTTATCGCTATCGGATCGAGCTAATTGCTTATATTATCAAAATGGATTTGTACTAAGTTGGTCCTACATTGTACTACACACGGGTCTCATATAACACGATACAGTTCGCTCCTTTGCTACATACCTTAATGTTGAGTTAATCTAAAATCATTATTACATGAATTATGTATGGTTATCTGATGAGCATACATTACATAGCTCTGAAAACAAAATAGATAAAGAAAAGAAAATACGGAAGTGTTTACGAAACCGTAATTGAAACTAAAAATCGATAAAACTAGAAAAAAAATTATGAACAAAGGATACCCCTGAGAAATTGCAACGAATATAACCAGGTGTTCTTTAAGGATAAGCGTTTTCTGCTTCATCGATGGCATTTTTTTTTAATATGAAAACCTAAGACTATCTATAGGTGGATCCAGGGAACGTCCGTGCGTCGTTGTTTGTCTAATCATAATCACACCTAGGTAACATAATGAATCATGTAAGAAACGGAGTAAAACAAGAAAAAGGAACGCATATGTATTTCAGGGGAATTACTACAGTACTGTATATAACGATTCTAGAGCATATTTTACTTCCAAAGAAATATTGATAAAAAAGATATACGCTCGACCTTGATATGTGTGCTGTGAGATATGGGAACATCAATTGATAAGGGGTGATCAATTTCAATCAAAACATGCATTTTTTAAAGGCCATTTATATTACTCTTCACTGGAAAGACTATTTGTGAATAGCAAACGATCGATAACCAATTTCTCTTTCGTCGCCAAAGGTCAAAATTAAGTCTTATAAGAAATTACTCAAAAATTGGAAGGCAGCATGCTGCTTGCAGCAAGTTTGTCCTGTGAGAATTCTTGTCGGAAATAAGCAAGTCGGCTGTCCATGCCAATTACAAAATATTCCATCAATGTCACCTATCATTTCTTTTCAATGTCGTCTGCAAAACACTTTGCCTAAATAGATAAAACAGTTGATGTGTAATATGTGAATGACACAAAGTCAGACATGAGATATGGGTAGAGCAGAGCGTGTGATGCCGCTGGCCTTTGTAGATCACGTTTACATTAAAGTGCGTGAGATCCCCTGTGAGATGCTCTGAGATTTTCTGCTCATGGCACAGTTGATAATTAAGGCAGCATACAAGAATTGATATTCCCAAAAGTTTCTGTCTGAAACTTGAAAATGGTTATCAAGTCACAGTTGATTGTCAAACGTTAAAAGATATATGCGCTATGTGAAAACATCCATTTATTTTAGAGACGAAAACAAGTCGTCAGCAGCAAAGGATAACAGTAAAACCAAAACAATCAAATACAAAAACAATATGATTTTGTTACATATAGGATATTATATGAGTTTCCATTTCATGTGAGATTTATTAAACGAGTCTAAGAATTTTTCAATTTAGCGAGTATCTGGCGAGCTAAAATGAAAAATTCGTGACGAGTTTCATAAATTTCTTATGAAATGAAAACGATCAAGATTTGTGGCATGTATTGGTGTAAAATGAAAATGTTCATGCAACCTTCGCGATTTTAACTACAGTGCTTGGGTCTGTGACGTCGTCATGTACTTGTCAAAGGCGTGACGTCACAATAGAAACATTTGAAACTTTCAACCAATCACAGGGGTGAAATGTCATATTAATCGATTTTTTTTATGAATACACATGAAGGCAAAAAATATGACATGGGTATATTCACTTGA